TTTATTGCTCGGTACCACTCTTCCCTGCTCGCTGCCATCCCCTCTGAGTGCCTCCCTTTCCTATCTCTGCTACTGTCAACCACTTGCAGTCATCACAAATGCTGCCGCCAGCCCCTTCTGCACCTGCTGCCGCCAACCTTCCAGCCACCCAATCTGCCAACCTTCCAACCACCCAAACTGCTGCCGCTAACGCCCTATGCTACCTGCTGCTGCAGCCCCCTCCTACACTCTACCCCATTGCAGCAACTCCCTCACAGCCCTTTGGCTGCTGCTGCAACCTCCCAATCCGAATCCTACCTGCTATCCAGCAGCCATCCACCACCTTTGCCATTGCCCTAGGGTTTCTTTTTGTTTGTGTTGTTCTTTTCTAGTGTCAAGAGTCGTCGTCTGTAATCCTATTGAGTTTCAACAATAATAAATGTGATTTGGGGTAACTCTGGTAGCACTTATTAAGCTTTATCTTCTTTCATATGCATGTTCAAAACATCTCTATGCTCTTTTGTCATGTTACCTTATCTTCAAAATGATGATCCTGCCTCTTCATTGGTGCATCCTTTTAAGAAAACCTAAATTGCATATTATTGAAGAAAAAATATTTTTACGTATGAGCAAATGCAACATGCAGCAGTAAAATTCATTGAATTAGGTCTTTCCGTTGGTTTGAAAATTTTTTACAAATATTGTTGTTGTATTTCTTTTTTATCTGGTTTTCCTCTCTTCTTCATCTGTTTTTTTGTTTCTCTTCATTAGTAGGCTGTGACCAAGAAGCAAATTTAGGGGATGTTTGGTAGCGCCCTATTAATAGGATTTATCCGTCAGATTTACTAAATCCAGTCAAACATTAACAAGCTAGGTTAAATGGATTTATGAAACTTCGGATTTAAGGTCCAAATTTCGCCTTTGATTCATGTTAAATTCGGATTTAATAAATATAACAAGTGGGTGAATTTTATAAATCTTAAATCCAAATTTACTAAATTCTACTAAAGATAAATCCTTCCTGCAGCCAAACACCCCTTTGAGCTCCTTCTCTACCTCTCCGATAAGAATTCGATTAGTGTAAATTTAATTCCAAATCTGTTTTAAATTTTGATTTGGTGCAAAAGCTTAATAATTAATTGATGAAAATGCTTTGAACTTATTATGGTTAACCAACATCATCATCATCAACAACAACAACAATAAAACCTTTGTCCTACTAAGTGGTGTCGGGTACATGAATCCTTTTTCGCCATTGCGTCCTAATTAGTGTCATATTTTCATTTTATTCTAATAAATTAAGATCATTTTTTATACAATATGCCCAAATCTTTCTAGGTCTACCTCTGTCCTTTTTAGCATGAGTCGAATCTAAAACATCTACTCTTCTAATTAGATCATCAGATGATCATGTTTAATGTAACCAAACCTTCTAAGACGATTCTCTCTACTTTTGTCCGTCACTGGGGCTACACCAGCCCTATCACGAATATAATCATTTCGCATTTTGTCTCTAAGTGTAAAGCCACAGTGTACTAAGTGTAAAGCCACTCATCCACCTAATCATTTTCATCTCGGCAACACTTAACATAGTCTTATGCTTCTCTTTTAAAGGCCAACATTCAACGCCATAGGCATTGCAGGTCTCACCACCATCTTATAAAATTTTTCTTTCAGTCTAAGCGATACTTTTCTATCACATAATAGGCACAAAGCATACTTCCACTTCAACCAACCAACTTGATTTCTACTAATAACATCCCTATATCAATATCACCATCAATCACTTTGAACAATAGACCCGAGATATCTAAGACGTTCACACCTTTTAATAACGTGTTTTAATAATTTAATCACCCATAGAACTTATTATTGTTCAAGAAAAAAAATTATATTCATCTTTAAAACTATCTCGTGTAAATTTTGTGCTTGCTTTGGTTTCCAGCAAATTAATATGGTGGGCCTCATTTGCAGACCCGGGGCTTTCCTATACAGATGATCACTGACAGTATGAATAGAAAAATTGCATAACACTGCTAAGCTGATATGCAATTTTATTTGATTAATTCAGTTTAGTGCTGCAGAATTGTAACAAACTCAGTATTGAGACAGACCATTTCAACTAGTGAGCTCGATGTTAAAGTTGTCTTAGCTGCATTACACATTTCATCAAATTTCTATAACGTATGTTATAGTTCCTTCATCTTCTACTACCAGTTCTCGAAATTATTCCTTGATTCCTTTCAAAATGGATGATATTTCTATTTCTCCTCTATTAAAATTTCTCGTGTCTAGATATCAAAGCTGTTATTAATCTCCTAGTTATTATTGTAATCACCTTACTTGGAAGTCCCAAATTCTAAAACTTTTCAAAACCAATTGGTTTGATGGATACCTATATGGTTTACTTCTAGACCAACCCATCGCATCCAATTCTCAATGATGATAGAGTTTCTGAAACCAACGCTTGGATGCTTGTGGATCAACTCTTGTTCGTTGCTTTTTACTCCATTTCTCCCTCTTCTACATTTATTACCCATCGTAATTCTTATATGGATATTTGGAAAACTATTGAATGTTGGATGCAATCTATATTTAGATCTCTCATCATTCAATTAAAAAATGAGCTTCATCATCTCACTATGAATTACTGATTCGTGATGCAATATCTTATGATATCATTTTGCAAAAGTTGATGCCATTGCTACCACTTGGTCCTTCACTTGATCTTGAAAATGCCATTCTTTATACGCTAAATAGTGTGCCATCCAATTATTACAATTATTTCTACCAAGCTTTAGTTTGGACAATTGAGGAATTAAATAATTCCGCTGAATCTACTCGTAGCATCTACATCAAGCTGCTTCTGATTAGAATCTCGCTTTTGGCTGCCATGAGTGGGTGTATTAATGCGAGCTCGGAAAGCTTTATCTCAAACTTAGGCTGTCGCTCTCTCACTACATTTAAGTTTGGTCATTGTTTTTCCTCTTAGTTTTGGGTGATTATCAATCTAAGTAATAGCTTGAATGTCGGATATGTGGGAAACTAGGGCATATTGTTCTAAACTATTGGCATCTCACTGATTTGTCATACCAGTTAAATCCGTGAGCTCTGTTTGCCGAAACTGCAACCTACCACTTGTTTGGTGCTTGATAATGGGGCCATATTATATCTCACCTCAGATGCTGCTCAGCTTCAACCTACGAAACCATATGATGGCTCTCAAGAAAAAAATTATTTGCAATTGACAAACTCTTCCTATTGCTCACAATAGTCAAGACCTGTTGCAGAGGCCAAATCATAGGATTCGCTTTTTATCTCTTTTTCATGTTCCCCATTTCACACACAATTTCCTGTCTATAAATTTGCCTTTAACTGCTCTTGCTCTATCTTAGTTGATGCATTCATTTATACAATCAAGGATTTGAAGAGCAGCAGAATTCTCCAGAGTCCATTTTAGCTTTGAACTCCTCTTCTGCGCAGTTTACTCTTTATCACCGCTCTATCCGATTCAATACTTCGGCATTGTCGAATAGGCCATCTCGCAAAAGTGACACACTTTCGTCCGTCTTGCACCTCTAACATTTCTACTCTTCTCTACATGATTTCTACTTTTCTTCTTGTGCTATTGCAAAGAGTCACTGTCTAACCTTTTTTGTGCCATCTACATGATTTCCACTTAGTGGGATAAAGACTTGTTGTATTAAAATTAGTCAAGTACTTAATCATTTTGATTTATGATGTTTCCTCAAGTTGTCTCTATCAAAGTTTTGAGAAAAATAGGTTGAATACTGAATAGGCTCCATGCCTTTTCCCTTTGCTTTCATTCCATTAAATAATAATCTTACAATCTATTTTATGTACAAAATATTTTGTATAATTTATTTTAGGTAACTTAATAATGTATATTCTTAATCTAAATATTCAGCTAAAAGGGAAATAAATCAGAATAAAGATATTGAAAATAATTTAAATAAGGAAGCTCTTAATTTTAGAAAACTCCTAATTTAGCTGCCTGATTTCCGTCCTTCTTGATTAACATCCCTCCTCAAATTGATATTGACTGATCAGTAAACATCAATTTGACAATAAGAAATTGATAATACTGTCGAGATAAAAAATTCTCAAGCCATGAGTGCCGAAACCGAATGTGCCAAAGTCGAGAATTGTGAAGCCTTAGAGACAACACTTGAACCATAACATGATTTGAGCAAAGGAAAGCAAGAAATTCTTTATCATTGTCGTCCAAAAATTCGAATCATTGCCACAAGAAGGATCCGCTTCCAGTTACACGATCCAAATGCTACCGATCATTAACCCACAAATAGGATTCAATACACGATCTATATTTTATCAATAATAGCCTATAAGTAAAATCCGTGTCCTGATCCAAAATGCTACCGATTATAGCCCACAAATAGGATCCAGTTATACGACCTAGATGCTATCGATCATAGCTTAGAAGTAGGATCTGCGTCATGATCCAAATGCTACCGATCATAACCCACAAATAGGATCCAGTTACACGATCCAGATGCTATCAATCATAACCTACAAGTAGGATCCATGTCCTGATCCAAATACTCTTGATTCTTCCTGCAACGACGATGACGATTTGTTCCCTGATCTTCATTCCAAAAGTGCTAAAGTCGAGGTGTCGAAGTCGTGGGTCTAGGAAGGAGTGCCGAAGCCTTCAATCCTTGGGTGCGACGAAGAAGCCAAAGTCGAAGCGGACGAAAGTCGAAGCGGACGAAGTCGAAGCGGACGAAGCCGGAGCGGAAGAAGCAGTCGAAGATGTCACAGAAGCAGTGATGGCTAGTGAAGGAGATCTGAAGCGGATGAAGCGAACAAAGTGAACGAGATTACAGATTGGGGATTAGACTTGAATCACAGACGTGATAACAAATGGACAAGATCGCAGATCGTAGCTAGAATTAAACACGGGAGACAGAACCAGACGCGGGAGATAGAGGAAAGCGAATCGACGGCGGACGAAGTTGTCGCAGCGGACGAAAATCCTTAGATGGGCGAATCAAGACAAAGAAATAGTTCCTCCCTTCCTGCAGGAAGGCCGACGGGAAGGGAGCCTCGACGGTCCTCCAACGACTACCTGTGGTTACGACAAAAATTTGACTCTGATACCATGTCAACGTTTTGAGAAAAATAGGCTGAATACTGAATAGGCTCCATGCCTTTTTCCCTTTGTTTTCATTCCATTAACTAATAATCTTACAATCTATTTTAGATACAAAATATTATGTATAATATATTTTAGCTAACTTAATGATGCATATTCATAATCTAAATATTCAACTAACGGAGAAATAAATCAGAATAAATAAATTGAAAATAATTTAAATAAGGAAGCTCCTAATTATAAAAAATCCTGATTTCCGTCCATCCTAATTGACAGTCTCAAAGGATATCAGTGTTATATTTTGTTTGTGAGTGATTGCTCTCCTTATTGGTAAACTTTTTTTCTAAATTAAAATTTGAAGTTACTAAAAAATTCCTACTATTTAGAAATGCTAAATTAATCAGCAAATGAAAGGTGTAAGATTTGATGGAGGTGGTGAATATGCCAATTCTATTCTTCAAAGACTACTTGGTGATTTTGGTATTATTCATCAATATAGTAGTCCATACACAAGGAAAATGATGTTAATGAATGCAAGCACTGACACTTTATTGAACTTTTTGGAACATTTCCATTTGATGGTAATCTATCTTATACTTTAAGGGTTGATATCTTGCTTACAATAACATATTTAATAAACATGTCACCATCGCCTAACACCATGGTGTGCACTTTTTGTCAGAAACCTCAATATCATAAGCACCTTTACGAAATTTATTTATCTTTGCTAATGGCGGTTACGCCTCATTTCCTTCATAATTGTTTTTCTTGGTTATGTTACTACAAATAAAGGTTATAAATACCTTGATTCAATGACTAGCAAAATCATACTTTCATGAAAACATGTTTCTAGTTGGAAAAATGTTTCAGCTAGGTGTCTAATGCATTCACGATCCACAACAATTTGCTCATGTTTGTCTTTTTAGAAAAACTATCTATGATGTTAAACAAGCATCGGGACAATAGTTTGCAATATTTTCTGATGATTTATAGAATCTTGGCTTTCATCCCATCACAGCGGATCTTTCTCTTCCTTTATATAATCCACACAACTTTCTCATCTATTTGCTAATTTTTGTTGATGATATTCTTCTTCCTAAAAATAATGATGAAGCCTTTCAAAGCTTGTTGCACAAACTTTGGGTTTTAAAAACATAAAAATTGTTTGGTATTTATGCAAATTTTCCTTTTTTTAATACATATACTGAACTGTCTAGAGAATGAAGATTGCTTTCATGATTTCCCTTTGGTTTTGTTGGATCTCAGTGGATGATGCCTCAACATCAGATGAAAGATGGTCATACCATGAAGGTCATGGCCATCCTGGCGGAGCGCGACAATGCCATTCAAGAGCGCAACTTAGCACTCGCGGAGAAGAAGGCTGCTCTGGCTGAGAGGGACATGGCTATTCTCCAACGCGACGCAGTCATCGCCGAGCGAAACACTGCTATACTGGAACGTGACAATGCCCTCGCGGCATTAGAGTATTCTCGCGAGAGTAGCTTGAATGGTGACAATAGTGCTGGATGTCCGCCAGGATGCTCCGCTCCTCGTGGAACGAAGCACTTCCATCAGCATCTACATCAGCATCAACATCAACATCAACATCAGCCACAACACCTGCAACATCCTCCAGCACAGTTATCCGACAACCCGTACATTCATGGAAGAGAGATGCAGGTAGCCGAGGCATACCCCATCTCCGCCGCTTCTGACGGTGTCGTAAAGATTAGAAAACCGAAGCGTTCAAGAAAGGAGTCAAAAGCTCAAGCTTCTAATCCAACGAAAAAGGCGTCGAGGAAAGGAAAGAGGGCCGCTGGTGGCGAAGATTTGAACAAGCAAATAACGATAGCGAAGCCGCTGAATCAGTGGAGGGGTAATGCTATTGGTGGCGGAGAAGATCTAAACAAGCAGGCTGTAGTTACGAAGCACCATGAGTGGAAGGGCCAGGATCTCGGTCTCAACTTGGTGACGTTCGACGAATCGACGATGCCGTCGCCTGCATGCTCGTGCACCGGGAAATTACAACAGTGCTACAAGTGGGGGAGCGGTGGATGGCAATCAGCCTGCTGCACGACGACGCTTTCAATGTATCCTCTCCCGGTAATGCCGAACAAGCGGCATGCTCGAGTTGCCGGGCGTAAAATGAGCGGCAGCGCTTTCACTAAGCTGCTTAGCAGATTGGCAGCAGAAGGCCATGATCTGTCTGCTCCACTTGACCTTAAGGATCACTGGGCTAAGCATGGAACAAACAGGTACATCACTATCAAGTGAATGATAATTATCAGGGTTTCTATAATTCTAGAGTTTAGTGTGAGTAAATGGAGCTTTAAATGGTTGACATTTTTTGATGTGTTGGGACTTTTTTGGGCTAAGTTTGGGCTTTTTACCAACAGGAAGAACTGATTTCTCTCATGAGTAGGAGGGATATAAGTAGTGCTATTGGGTAGTTATAAAAAATCAGGCCTTCTGTTTTGAACATGTCTTCTTTCACTGAAGCCCTTATAATATGTAATGTTTTAATGAATGTAATTCATTTCTTCAGCAAAAACTGAAGTTCTTTTTTTAGTTGGTTTTTTTGGTTGCTTGTGGATAGAATGCATATTTTAGAAAATAAGGATTTTATTTTCAACCATTATATTCAATGTACTTTTTAACTTGAAAGCAGTGAAATGTTATTCATAATTAATCAAGCTCAATCTTAAGCTCAATCTGAAGCCCAAGCCAACAGTGACTAGAACTTATATAGGTGTATAATCAATTATTTTGCTTGTATTTTTGAATGCTTTTTTCATGCTTATATTTTTGAATGCATGACAATTTGGTTTTTTAGTTTGTCTTGTCTAATAATTTAGTTGTATGTCTTTTATTTTAGGGTGATTTCATCAAATTGCCTTAATTGGACAGTGTTGCTATTATATAAATGTGCTAACCATTGGTGTAATCCTCCCTAAGGCCTACCCCTACCCAAACTTGAAAATAGAAATAGCCATGCGTGGGGGTAGGGGGCTTTTTCTTTTAGCTACTCAGAGTTTTGGTGAAGATTCTCTGTTTTATGTCTATACTAGTAGTGAGTTTTCCCCTCTATCGATCTTTTTTCATTCTTTTCCTCTTATGAAGAGAATTTTAAGACCACTCATATTTCAGGATCCAATATTAATTATGCTATTTAATAGTCTTATTATAATAAGTGTATCCACAAATACAATCATATAGATAAAAACACACTTTATTTTGCGTATTCTAAATACGAAAACTAATATGCCAAATTGAGTATACCTGTTGGAGTGGTTGAATCGAACTCATATGTCAAAGTGGTTGAATCAAATTCATCTGTCAAAGTAACTGAATCTCATCTCTCCCTAGGATGTCACTTAGCTTTTTAGGGAGGGATAACTTTTAGGGAATGTCATCATTATCATATAGGATGCAGGTCTATCCTCCTTCAAATGCGCCGTCTAACATTCACATCACAGACTTTTCATCAAAGAGCTAGGATGTCACTTAGCTTTTTAGGGAGGGATAACTTTTAGGGAATGTCATCATTATCATATAGGATGCAGGTCTATCCTCCTTCAAATGCGCCGTCTAACATTCACATCACAGACTTTTCATCAAAACATCATGGATGAGTGTGTATTGTACTAAAAGTATTTTCTATTATTTTCTTCCTTTTATATAAAAAGAAGTTACGAGAAGAAGAGAGTCATGGATTTTTTTCCAAAGTCTCTCTCTCTCCCTCTCTCTCTCTAAAACTGAAATTCAAGAAACCACTTCTGAGCTATTTTTTCCAGCTTACTTTAGATTCAAGTTCAATGCACAATCCCTGAGATATTCTCTCGAGCCTCCCCCATCATCTCTCTCTTCTACATTTCTTTCACGACTAAAATGTTCACTTTAACGAGCTGTATGTACTCACGAACAATGTAAGATCCTACGTCCTAAAAGAATTCAATAATAAGAAATTATATGTGAATCACGAAATTAAAAACGATTCGAAACAACCATATAGATTTTTATTGGTATCCAAATCATGAATATCATTGGATTCCACATAAAGATGAACAAATTTTGTGCAAAACAGAATTATTATCAGCATAGGTGGCATTATTTCAATTATTGAATTTTTGTTAATGATTCCTGCTAGGAGTTGATTTGATTTTTAGACATACATTATTTGCCTCATTATTATTATTTTAAATAGTTTTAATTTAAAATATGGTGCCATAACATTGATCAAATCAATCTCTTTCAGTAAATTTAATAACTAATATAATTTTTAAATAATTTACTATTTTGGTCAGTACATTCTAATTTTAATTAGTATAAATAGTTAAATTAAAAATAATTTTTTTTAATTTATTATAAAATTTTAAACATTTAATATGAAAATAATGTATATCATTTTTGAATACAAATAATTAAAACGATAAGTTGTGAGAGAACCAATCTTCGTTTATCAAAAGATCTAAACTAATAGTAAATGAAATTATTAATTATGAAAATGTGTGCTTCATTTTTTAATGGTTGTAATAGTAGTAATGATTATATTATTAGAGTGATATGTTTGTACAATGACATGTTTCGAGTGCTAGAAGGCCAACTTTTTTTCTTTTTTTAAGGAAGAAAACTTTGGTCACCTTCTGCTCCCAAACCCACTTATCTAAGTGATTTGTCGAACTCACTTGCTGAAGTGACTGACCGAGCTTACTTGCCAATGTGACCCGCGGGCTCTCTATAATTGTTTATTGAGTTTTTCAAACCGCTGATATGATGAACATCACTCAAGTATAGATAAAAGTTCGTGTTTATTTAAGAGCCTTGTGACATTCACGTCTCCATACTCTCACGAGAACATTTCGAGTGGGCTTTGTACGAACAAAGGAGAGAGACTGGGGAATATGGATATGAATTCAGACGTTTCCCACATTTGCAGGGGAATATTAGAGAGACTGTGGACTTCATTTATGAAGTAAAATATATTATAAGTCAACTAGGATGGTTGTTGGTACCACATGTATAGCTTATATAATATATCATTCATAATTAAATTTTTGGAATCCTAAACTTAAAATAGTAATATAGGTCAACTAGGATGATTGTTGGTACCACATTTATGCTTTAATATATTTTGAATAATTTTGTTCTATTATTTTTACTAATAATTTTAAAAGTTTTTTAGCATCAACTAAAAGTTTATTGTTGTTCAGTTTGGAGAATTGCTTTCTGTTTATTTTATAGAGGATTTTTGTGTGAGAAAGTACTTATTATAATCATAATTATTAAAATATGATGATTGTAAGAAAAATATATATGTTTGACTTTCTCTCACCATAATTTTACAATTAGATTTATAAAAAAATATAGCCATCTTAAACAAACCTTAAATACGACTTATTAACTACTGGTCTCCATCCCAACGGGCTGTCGGGTCGACACACGACCTAACCAGCGGGCCCAAAAATTATAAAAACACCACCCAATTTCTTATGTATTTTTATATCTAACATCTAAGCTTTATTTTTTAATATTTATACCGCACAATTCTTTCATATAGCATTAAAAATATCACTATTTTAAATGTTTTAAAAGTAGAATATATCTTTTGATATATAGGTAAGATGACATATATATATATATATATATATATATATATA